ATATTGAACCGAAGTAGATTCATAACGAAGGAGCGCTAAGTTCGAAGAAGAAAAGCTTATCCGCAGTCAAGCAAAACATAAATGCATCGAATTCTTAAATTATTGTAAAAATCTCGAGGATTCTTCGTACCAAAAAAGGGATCTTTTCATCGATCTCGAAGGACGATACCTTCAATTTTGAATCGCCTTTGCTGACGCATGAGCGAATCTAGGGCTTTATCGAGGGACCGCCTTGAAAATACAATCCTCGAGGACACTTGAAAGAGAAAACCTCGGAAAATGAGATTGCCTTGTTTATCGGGATCATAACCTGGGCACTCGAATGCATGGAACACAAACACTTGAGCACATGCATACAGTTCTCTAAAATTTTAACGCCTCAAGTTACAATTCTGGAATTTTTTTATTGGAATACTACACATCTCATTTCCTTCTGTCGGTTATCTGATCAACATTAGTTCATTGGAAGTTCGTATTTTTTTTTCGTAAAATGCCATTATAGAATTCTCCAGCCACTTTTCAAATTTCCGAAGCAATACAAACTTTTCCCAATGCAATTCAAATTTTGAAAACTTTATCTCCATCCAATATTAACTGGCGGTGAATTACAGATGAGGAAATGTACATGCACACGGAAAGAATAGTTCCTCGGAAATTTCTATTTCTTTTTGTTCGTAAAATGCCATTATAGAATTCTCCAGCCACTTTTCGAATTTCCGAAGCAATACAAACTTTTCCCAATGCAATTCAAATTTTGAAAACTTTATCTCCATCCAATCTTAACTGGCGGTGAATTACAGATGAGGAAATGTACTGTACATGCACACGGAAAGAATAGTTCCTCGGAAATTTCTATTTCTTTTTGTTCGTAAAATGCCATTATAGAATTCTCCAGCCACTTTTCGAATTTCCGAAGCAATACAAACTTCTCCCAATGCTATTCAAACTTTGAAAATTTTGTCTGAATCCAGTATTCACTGGCAGCGGATTCCAAATGAGGAAATGTACATGCACATGGAAAGAATCTCCAACATAATATATCATAAACATAAATAAAGTATCTCTCTTCCGAAAATCGGTCTAATAAAAGGCAGGGGAAATCAAGAAAGAAATTTCAGATTTTCCTACGCGATAAGTATTATTGTATCAAAGAATAAATATATACGGGTGCACGAAACTGTAAATTGCATATGGTGTGAGCTATACTTGAGCCCAAATTGCGCCTGCGCATTCGTGAGTTGAAAATGTTGCATACCTTTGATTTTAAGACGGAATGACAAGACCTGATGCCCCAGTTTACAATCGAAGTGACATAAACTGACTTCGGAGTTTAGAAAAACGCGCTATTTAGAGTTTAAAACTTCTTTTATTTTGCCCGGACTTCATCATCCTATCTTACATCAGTTCAATGCGAATTAAAAAAAAGTTATCCATTTGTCCTCGTGTCGATGATTCCACTCGCGCGAATTCAGAAATAAATTGGAATTGAAATTTATCCCAATTTATTAGTACTGCCGGAAAAACAGGTTTTCTTCCGTCGGTTGGGCAGTTCTTAGGAAAAATGTCATCATAGCTCATTGATGTTACATAAGGCCAGTGAACTTATGAATTTCCGATTGCGGAATGACATGATTCAGGTCATTCGACATTCGTTCAGAAATGCGTATGGATCTAGAAAGATAAGCAACGATTTAGTGCTTCGAATCAGTATTGATAAGCAGCGATTCAGTTCTCCGGAACTACATTACCGGGATACGAGTATATCCTCACTTGGAGCGGATACAATCTTGAGGCAAAGAAAATATAAGGACTGAGGGAAAGTTCTTCAAATTCAACTCGGAGGCTCGAACTTGGTTGACTCACGCATTTGAACGATTTACGTGGATTTTTTAAATTAAATTATGAGTCCATTTTTCTCAATTTGAATCGGCGACGAATTAAGTGATGGTGTATGTTGCTGACATAGTTTTCGAATAATTATTTTTTAGATTGCGGGTTTGAAAATTGAAGTTGAATTCGATTAGTTTTTAAATTGTATTCTTTACTTGTGGGAGTGTCTTAGCTACGATTTCGTTGTTTTTAAAATCTTGGTTTCTGTGACTGTGAATTGGTGCTCGAATCCTACACAAAGCTGAAACTATGCTGACCTTAAAACACACTTATCAGCAAAAAGTTTACATCCCTCTCTCGCAGTTCACGAGCCTCAGATTCCAAATATGGTATTTCAAGTGTAAAATTCAGCGACGTTTAATTACCATATAGTACCATTTTCAAGGACAATTAGAGATTGAAGCCTTGGTTCACCCACGTGAGGTCCGATTCACAAAGACGAATATTAAAACCCGTAGAATTACTGTAATCGGGTTTCGTATTTAATGGAATATATAGACCTCTTGAACAAAGTAATGGAGCTAATTATACACACGTAGATGTATCATATTTCTGAAAAAAGTTTCTTCGAGATGAGAGCTGCAGGACTAATAATAGTGCAAAAATGCATGAAAAATCCAGCTAATTTTTTTTCAATTCTAAATATGCTGTCTAATATTCCAAAACTAGATGCAATGCTTTATCCATTGCACAGATAGAATGCCTTAACCATTTTTATTCATGCGAACGCCGCTTTTTCTCAATACAACGCACCATTTTAAATTGCTACGTCCCCTGCTGAACTGCTTCAAATAACTCATATCGAAAGCAATTGTGTCAACTAAAATCAATTCATTATATTTCAAAGGATGTTCAATTTAATGATTCCAGTTTGATTAGTCCGAGAAGTACGGAGCTAAAAAAAAGACCACCGAGAAAAAGTTTTAAGTGACTCCTATTGAAAGGGTTAATGGAGTTCATGAAGGGAAAATTAGAAATTATTCACAAGCCAGGTGACAATCGTTTGTTTACAAAACTGTTCACGGGATTCCTGCGAAATTATCATTATGTAAAAAAAAATTCTATGGATAGAAAAACGAAAAAATGAAGATTCCAGTGGCGGAGGCTAAATTCCTGCAGCTTACTTGTCCGCGGACCACAAAAGGAACGCGACAATTTTTGTGAATTTCACATGTTTTCATCAATTGATCCGTCCTAAAAGAATAATCAGAAGCCGAGGAAAAAGGTAGTGAATCATACTCGTGTATTCAGGTAAAAAAAGAAGAAAAAAGAACTGGTCTGCTTCTTCCACCTCATAAAAACTCGATACTGTATGTGCTGACGCGGTGTTTCCGGGAATACTGTACATGTACTCTGTTAATCTGTATGCTCAGCGAAAACGTGAAAAATGTCAAAAAGATACACCATTCAACACCATTGAGTTTGATAACGGGGATGGATGAGTGTCCGAAGATGCTCGCAAGTATGTTTACACGGCGACGTGGATTAATCCCCGCGTTCAGTCAATCCGCCAGGGAACGTCATCAGCCTGTTCGCGGCATAGTGCAGCGCGTTCCCTCCTTCGATTCTTTCACTCACCACGGGTTCAGCAAGGTAATGAAATCTTTTACAAGGACCCCGGGGTTTGTGGGGTTTCTGTGCTCGGGGGGCGACTCGAACCCCACGACGCCCAGCAGCACGTGGCGGAACGGCCCCGAGCGACGACGGCGGAAAACGCTGTATATAATGGCGGAAATGCATTTGTTATTGGGAACGTGACAGCGAGGAATTGCGACTTTCTTTTCTTTGTTCTTGTCGTACTATGCTGGAGAATATTCTGCTATTTTTCAGCTTCTCAGATATTTTTCTTCATTATCTCGCCAAACAGTATTCCCCATGCTTTAAATATCCATTATCATAACTTTTTCTGAGGAAGTATCATTTATGAATGATTGCCAGATGGTCTTATTTGGAAATTCGGCATATACTCCGGATATTAGATGCATCCCATAATGTATTAGTGACGCCGCTGATTTTGCTTTTAATATCAGACTCTCCTTGGAACAATGAATGCGAGAAAACTTATTGCCTAAAAATGATCGTTGTCTTGAGGAATTTTTGCCTGACAGACTATTTTTTCCGAATTGAAAAACAACTTTTACGATGTTGGTGCATTCTGTTTTATGTAAAGCAGTGTTTTCCTCGTTTGATTCTGAATACTGTACAGAAATTTAGTTTCACAGCTATTTTTTATATTTCACCTCAAACTAAATATGCGACATGTATTATGTATCGATTTACTTAGGAATGTAAAAGTGAAATTTATACTGAATCTGGAATGGATCCGCGTGGAAGTCGAATGGATAAACTATATTTCACGTAACTTCAAATTATTCGGTAAATAATGGGCTTGGGATTGTTGCGAGTCTGGAACCATTCAGGATTTTCTATGCATCCCCCGGGCAATGGACTTTTCGGACAACGGCCTTCATTCTTTAACGCATCGTCTATCAACTGAGGCATCACTGATAAAGAAAATATAACGTAAACTTTGTTTTTGGACTGCCCGTCGTAAAAGAAGAATATTTTTACCGCAAGCTCAGAAATTATCCCGTTTCCTTTTCTCCAATCCGATTCGACGTTTTCGCCAAAATTACTTGATTCGATATTCTAATGCTGAAGAACCGCTCGCTGAAGTTTACCTTCGATGAGGTTTTCGATAGCTCCCGCGACTTTTGGAAGTGTCAGTTCTTGCTCAATGCTTAGAAAATTCGCGAAACTTACAGGACCTCTTCGAGTTCACGGAAAATTTTTGGCCACAGTGATATCCAACGATTGTATATTTTTGAAGTGCTGTTTTTATTTTTGATGCAGAAAATCAATTAAATCGATATTCCCGCCGGGGCACGGGAAAGTCCGATCCAAGATTACGTTGTTCGTGGGTGTGAGACTAAAAAAAAAAATCAGTGAAAATTTGCGCGGCTTTTATAGAAAAACATAAAATTTCTTAATCCTCGGATGTGATGATTTTCTAGATGCGGTTGATCAGACTGAAATTTTGTTTTCCCAGATTTTGTTGATCTTGAGTCTTTTTTTCGCGACTGCAATTATCTCACGCCGTGGAATCAGTCATGGAGAAAGAGAAGGAAATCTCGACCCCGGAATCCGGCGATGGGCTGCACTTCAAAGCGACGGAATCCCGCAGGATGATGAAAAACGTTCTGGCCATCAGCTTCGCCTTCCTCTGCCTGTTCACGGCCTTTCAAAGCATGTCCGCCCTGCAAAGCTCCATCAACTCCGTGGACGGCCTCGGGCCCATCTCGCTAGCATCGCTGTACGCCGGACTCGTCGTGTCCTGCATGTTCCTGCCCACGTTCCTCATCAAACGTCTCACCGTCAAGTACACCATGATGTTCTCCATGCTCTGCTACTCTGTCTACATAGCGGCTCAATTCTACCCCGAGTTTGCCACTTTGGTCCCGGCCGGGGTCATACTCGGCCTGGGCGCGGCGCCCATGTGGTCTGCCAAGTGCACGTACCTGACTCAGGTCGGCAAGGTGTACGCCGACTTCACGGGCCGCGACGAGGAAGCCACCGTCGTGCGATTCTTCGGCATTTTCTTCCTCCTTTTCCAGAGCTCGGCTGTCATTGGGAATCTCATTTCCTCGAGCGGTGAGTAAAACCCTGCAGAGATACCATTATGGGGAGAAACCGAAAACATGTTTTTCGATCTCTTTATGGGATTGATCAGAAACATTTTCCGGTAAGCTCGTTTACAGCTTCGAACAGTGGCACGCGTACCACTGCTGATGGTACGAGCTCAATTGTCAGGTGGTACGTGGAAATGTTCTAGCATAGCGGTCACGTACATTTTAAGGAATCTTAAATTCCTCGAAGAATGCGCTGACAAGTGATACGAGTGAGTGTTATGTCGAGAAAATATATAGAAGTCAAAGCAAAACATTTCCAAAATTGAGTTGGGTAGAATACGCAAAAGCCCCGGACATATGAATCAAGCTAAGTAATACTAAGGAGGTACAGTAGTAAGAAAACTCGATCAAATCTTGAAAATTGTGCCATTCATCAGAAAACGGTTGAAAATGCCTCCATCTAAGAGTTAGAGGATCGCAAAAACTTATTTTTTATGCAGAACCGTAACAGGTTTCTTTTTCTCTAATCTAATCAATCCTAGACCTATCACAAGATACAGATCAGGATGGATAGGCTATATTGCCTTCCAGAAAATCAGATCGGTTAGATTAGTGTATAATACGGTAGGTTTGTTCCATGGCTCCATGAGTGCCTCAATTATATAGTAATAACTAATAATAGCCTCAATTTTATCGTCTGATACTGCCAGTCTATGCCAGATTTCCGAGGAAATGGGGATTAATTTTCAAATATCGGAGAGCAGCATGGTAGGAAAGAGAGTCACGTAAAACGGAGAAAAGGATAATCGTGCTTTTGCGTCTATAAGGAAGATAATCCCCCGCCAGCTTAAATCAAACGTCAATGTTGATCAAGCACTCCGGATTCAATATACGCGTACAGGTGCGAGCTAATTGCATCTTCTCTGATTTTTAAAAGCATCGCCAGGTTTTTCGTGATGAATCCATCATCAATCCCAGGTGAACCACGGGATACAAATCAAAATGGACAGGCTTCTTCAGGAAATCAGGCTTGATGGATTGGTATACTGTTTATTTAATAAACATCTCAACTACAGTGCCGACCACTCCGATCCAGTTAGTCTGGGTCATATGTTCCAGAAAATGCGGAATTTATTCTTCAATATGATAAAGCAGGAATAAGTAAAATATACTCATAATCGAAAAAGAGACGATCTTTCTTCTGAAATTTTGAATGGAAAATATTTTTCGACTGCTGCGATGCATCCGGAATATGCTAAGAAATGCAAGAATAGTTTTTCTCCTCTCCTTTTGAAAAGCCTTGAGAGGGCTTGCTCTCATCAATCGTAGGTTAATCGTATAATACAGGCCATGATGGACAGGCTTTTTCCGAAAATCAGGTCTGTTATATTAGTGTATACTACTGCAGGTTTGTTTGATGATTGTCTCGGTCAGATCCATTTGATCCGATTAATTCGGTTTAGATTTTCCGGAAAAGGCTGATTTTCTTGACCCGTATTAAAGGCCAAAAATAAGTGTAAGAGAGACTCATAATTGAAAACGTATCATTGGAGAGCCAAATCAGCTTATTTCTTTATCAAAATAATATTTTCTCCAGCTTAATCTGGACGTCAATTCTGATCAATTACAAAGCTTTTAATGCGAGAAAGCACTATATTTTTCTCATTTTTTCTGAAAAGCCATAACAGATATTTCATCTTCATCAATCGATTATTTCAAGATCAATAACATTATAAAGATCAGAATAGACACAATGCTTCAGGAATCAAAATGAATTAAATATACACGAGACTTTTTGTCCAGTGAGAACTTCATTTTATCTGTCCGATCCAGTTAATTTGGAAAATATTTCTCGGAATTATTGTTTGAATGATTCCCCGACAAGTCGCACAGGGACAACTCCCACAGTTTTTTTCCTACTAAACTTTTTTTTGCTTTAAATTTAGGTTCAGACAAATTTGTATCCTTTTTTGCATCTAGATTCTCTTTTTGCCTGCATTAATTGTATGCATTTTTCATTTTCTAAATTTACAAAATGGGGCTTGAGAACATAAAAAACGCCACGATAAATTTGTTCATGAAAATCTCTAGGTTTTTTCTTTGGCATGGAGGAACACGATTCTGTTCATCCTCAAATTTTTTTCAATACTTGTGTTTTCAATCTTGTCAAGGATAATTCTGATGCATGCATTAATCCATCTTATGCCCAGAAATTGGGCCCACAGTCATTTCTTATGGCTCACAGAATCCGAAATGTTCCCACGCAGTTATTGATGCAAATATCATGAGCCAATTATATTTGGCAAAAACACAAAAAATGAGGCATCTCCACTTGATGCAAGACAATGTGCTGCATGCACATGACCATTCCAAAGTTGATTGAACAATGTTTGGTTCAGGCAAACAAAGCACAGTGAGACCCCCAGATGCCGACATAATTGGTGCATCAAGAGTGTCCCTAAGTTGAATTGTGCCTAAGTTGAGCCTTGTTTTCCCATAGACTTACATTATATAATTTGTAATTGGTCTTCTATGGAAGAAATATTCTTCAGAATTCCATGAAAAAAAGGTTTTTGCCCCTTGAATTTGAATCAGTGAATATTTTTTCAACCTAATGAGAACATTTGGAGCATTAAATAGTATACCACTGTACAGTTCATTGTTGGCATCTGTAAAAATGACATCCAAGTAAAAAAAAAAGAGAAGGAAGTCCCTCTGTGCTACAGGTAATTTTTTTGATTAGCTGAATTGATGGGAAAGTGATAGGAAGAGTACCAAAGAATTTTTCTTACATAGATCTCAGGGTTGGAAACATCTGTTTATTGCAATTAAGCTTAATAAAAGTCAATTTTCCTAAAATTGTAATTGGAAATTTTATCATGCAATGTCCTCATGTCGAGTCAGTGTCCCTATGTCGGGTCATTTTAAATATTTTTTAGTGAAAAATAAATGTCCCTGTGTCGAATCGTCCCCATGTCAAGGTGTCCGCATGTGGGGGTCTCATTGTATACATATTTGCCTGAGCCTAAATGTAAAATAACATAAATTTAGTAGGAAAAATACGTGTGCAAGTTGACGCACTGTGAGACTTGCCGCTGTACGAGTTGTCGCTGTGCGACTTGTCCACAAACCAATTTGAATATTTAATCTTCGCAGTTTTACAATCGGACAAGAACAGCATTTTGCCGAATTCAACATTTGAAAAATGCGGAATCATGTTTTGTCCCGGAGAAGATGCGGCAGAAGCCGCAGTCAACAAACCGTCCAAAGAGAAAATTTATACTCTCGCCACGGTTTACCTCATCTGTGCCTTGGCCGCTCCAGTCGTGATCTTCTTCTTTGTGGATCCTCTCAGCAGGTGAATTTCCTTTCATCGTCGGTTTGTTGCCCGTATTTTTACGACCGAGAAAACTGGGAGAAAAAGTCGATGGAATCTGCATCCTTTTTCCCGCTTTTCACTTCTGCGGATATTATTTCCCAATTTCACTGCTGATGAAAATAATTCTAGAAAATACCGAGAAGGGATTATTGCCATAATACGTGTTGAGAATTAGGGTATCGTGATCGTATGTTCGATCCTGACGGAATCGTATTTACTTCTTAGAAAACGCATGCAAAGCATCCTAACTATTTTTGTTAACGACTCTTTCGAGCGAAGTCTCCACCTTTGCACATTATTAAACTTTTACGGTAGACAAGTAGTTCCCATTCGATGCGAGAGGTGAAATATGGAACATCTACATCCATTCCTCGAGTTCTTCCAGATAAGACAAAATAGCCAGAATAAGCGCATCAGTATGAATTTATTGGTAAAATATTGTTTGTCCTTTCGCAATAATAATGAAAAACAATAACGCATCTATCTTTAAATAAGTGTATCATAATACTGCATCTGCTACATCTGTTGAATATTGAAGATCCATCCCGCACACTAAAAATTTCTGAAATGAAAATTTCGTGGGCCGATCATATGAAATTAAATTATTTTTTATGTTGACTTGAGTCGAAATGTTAATTGAGATTAGAGGGGGTGTTTGATCCAATTCATGGTCGATGAATGGCGGTTGAATTGCATTCGACTGAAATCTGGAAAGAAAACATTTTAATATACTGCACTCTCTGAATCTATAGTATGAGCGTTTTTTTTTTTTCAAGAAAAGCATCATTCTACGTGCGATAAGTTCTTCAAGGTAAAGTATGAGTTATTCGTTTTCACATACCGTACACGAAGACCAGTCTTACGTTGTTTTCTGAAATAAAGCGGATTCGTATTGATTTATAGGATATTTTCGTTCGAGGAATGTTTCAGTTCTCGATAAGAGTATGGAAAGTTCATGACTTGCGATTGGAATTTTTGCTGCAAACATTAGTTTGCGGCATCGTCGTGATGCCTGAAATAAATAATTCAGATCATCTCAGTAGCGAAATAGTTTCAGCAGTTATATCTAACGAAAATATAATAAAAATTAGAGGAAACGTTACATTTTTACCTACAAAAAGGTAGGCTAGAAAGAATCCTTTTAAAAGTCAGGAACAAATGAAATACTGTAACTGTATTAAGGGTAGGTTTTAAATTCAGAACTTAGCCTGAAAAGGCTTATTCAATGAGTAGGGCGTACCTTATTTTTGGGAAATCAGGATATATGTAGTTTTGAATTACATGTTCAGAATTGTGTCCATTCGATCTTCAGGTATGGCGAGAAACAAAAGAAAAGCAAGAAAGATTCGGTCACTGATGAAGAGCCCATTTCGGGCATGAAACTGCTGGTTGCTACGTTTTCCCACATGGCAAATCCGTTGCAGATGCTCATCATTCCGCTCACATTTTGGTCGGGCATCGAACAAGCATATTTCGGATCCGAATTCACAAGGGTATGTGCGAAATCCTGAAACTTTTTCCAACCTTTTGTGGTAATCATCCAAATTAAATCATGAATTAACGAAAAGGGCAGACGTTTTCCCTTGATAGTGCTGCCGAATTGATGCAATTTTCACGAAGGCGTCGTAATCGAAGAAATGCCGGAAGTGACTTCATGGCAAAGCATCATAAAGTACACATCCGGGACGGGAGCTATGTTTTTTCTTCAACCCCGAAATATGGATTTACGATTTTCCTGTAAAGATTATAAAAGATTAAGAGGCAAGGCGCCTACTTGAATGGCGTACAGTTTTTGGGTCGGATGTCCTGTCGAATGTCCTTCGTAATGCAGACTATTTCGATGAACTGGTTCGACTCGTACCGTCTCTCACGATCACTGATCGGAAGCTTCGCTAATCCGGCGGAAACTTCCTCCTTCTGCCGTTTTGTCCGTTGCCCTTTGCGATGAACTTGAATGGGATTGGACATAAATTCAAACTTACTGAAAATGGTTCCCAGGCCGAAGTTCCAAAGGTTGCAACCCAAAAAGGAAGCTTCGCTTGGAGTCCATGTTATCCCGAATCGCGTGCATGGAGTTCATGCATTCCACAATTTATTCCTGTGCATAATTACTGACCACGAACGAGCCAGTTCGAGTCACGTTGTTTTCCCAGCGAAGCCCACTGCAAAAAATCTGCGAAAATCCGATGCCGTACCGTGCTTGGATACGAGTATTCGTTTTTTTCTGTCTGCAAGAATTGCCCCATACTGTGCTGTGTAAGCAAATTTCGCCGTAGATCTATTGAATTTCATAATTTATGGCGCTTCAAATTTGATGTCATCTTTCTTTCGGAAAATCTCAGTATAATGTTTTATAATCATCCTTCCTGCAATTTCTAGTCGCATCGTGAAAATTATTTCAATACAAGGACCTGCTAGTGTAGAATGGTGCCGAATGTAATTTAAACAATTTAATGGGTAAAACTCTTCAAAATAATTATGCTGGTACTTCCTACCTCTACCCAAGAACAAATTAAAGCAGTGCTCGCCATGACATAGATGAGTGGAGAATGCCTCGATCAGATGAGGCTTCAAGTGAGTCATTCACAGAAATCCGATCCTGAAAAAAATTAATTGGATTTTGTCTTGCTCATTATTTGTTGACAGAATAATTTTCAGACTTTAGGCGCAAAAAATAAATTGCATATTATAACTGATCGTGCGTTATTTTAGAACAAGTACGGCACACCGATGGTTCATTCGGAAGGTTAATTACCATAGTTTCAACGGAATCACTCGCAACATGTCATTTTTCTGGATTATCCGCTCGTCAACAAAAACGGTTTTCTCCTCTGATGCTCTGATCCCAAAAAAATCATCATGTTGCAGTTCGTAGCACCGATGTTGTATCGAAGGGGTGTTCTTCCACGCAATCACTTCATTAGTGGTTTGGTTTGCCAGTTGAAGGTTGGAGGTCACGAGGGAACTCTGAGTAAATGCACGCGAAAATTATTACTTGCACCAGCAGCTAAGATAATTTTTTCAGGCTTCAGTATGTGCAAAATACTTGCACACACTCTCGCTCTGGTTCCTCGGCGAGAGATTTTCCTCTCCCGTTTTCTTACCACTTTATCGAAAAATGTGGGTTAATCTTCAACCTTGAGTCACGATGATTCGTTTCAAGAAAAATCCAGAATATCGAGAAAAACAACGAGCAATGCTTGTGCCGTACAGATGCGTGCCCAACTCGATTGAAGACTCAAAAACATGAGACTAAGAGATATAATGTCTTCAAAGGAAGGATGTAGAATAATATGTTGATACCGTGACTGCTTGTTGTTGAATGGCACCTTGCATGAAGAATTGTTGAACACTTTTTAAAATCTGAGCGTCAATTCATCCTCAAGATCGGAAAACCCCCTTTCAAGCATCAGCATTATTAGGAAATATCGCAAACGCTTCGTGTTAGCTCATCAGGAGCATTTGGAATGTGCAGGGTATCCGCTAAACTTTACAAAGACGAAGTTTATTGAATGCTAGATGCTAAAAAGGCGCTGAAATGTGCATGCAAATAATGCACCTTTTTCACACATCGTGGAGTGTATGAGGGATGGTTCAAACGTTTTTTCAGTACACCAAAATGCGGTTTTTTGGTTTTCTAAAGTATCTGAGCCACAATCCACAAAAAATTGGTTCACTCACAAATAATTTTCTTGGATTTAATCTGAATTAATTCTTTTGGCTCAGCAATGTACAGCTAGAAGTTTAGGACAGCAATTACAATCTGTATTTCCGATAAAATTGTCAAGATTTAACGCTAGCTTCTTTTATTGTAGCATAGCCATGAAATTTCAACTGAATAATTCAATTTCGGAATCTTTGTTAGCCCTCAGAAGTTAGACCGCCAAAATTCATAAAATATGCGAATCTGGAATGTGAACATAATTTCTTGTATGTGTTGGGAGAAATTTTTAACTCACTCTCACCTTCTTTACAACTTATTAGGGAAATTGGAAATCTGGCGGAAACATGTTATGATGCGTATGACTCTGTAAACAAATGTTCTGTACATTCACTCTATTCGTCTATACAGCGAGAATTTAATGCAGCACATGAAGTGGCTGCTGGACCAACCATGAAAGTATAACGAATCATCGATCAGCATGTTACATGGGGTCGGTGTTGAGAAAGTTAGGAACGAGAATCGTAGTTCCCTAGTTTAGGAATCTTCACGAGAATTTCCGTATACTGCTGTAGTACATACGAAACGTTCGCCGCTTGAAAAGTTCAATGTTTGAATTTTGATGATTGATTCTCCCCTTTCATGGATTTGAAATTGCAGGCATTCATTGCGTGTTCGTGGGGTACCGAGAACATCGGCTACGTGCTGATGTGCTTCGGCGTCGTCGACGCTGTCAGCTCATACGCCTTCGGCTACGTGATCAAGCTTACTGGCAGGATTCCTTTGTTCATCGCTGCTGCTACCATGAATATCGTCATGCTGATTGTTTTCTTTGAGTGGATGCCGACACCGGATGAGAAATGGGTACTGTTCGTGAGCGCCGGGGTGTGGGGCATGTCCGACGCTGTCTGGCAAACACAGATCAACGGTGAGCTGAAATCGATTCCGCGTTCTGATGCCTTCGACTTTCTGAATCCAATTAAATTGGAATCTAGAGCAGGGCTTTTCAACCAGAGTATTGTACGCGCAAAACTGGGTGGTACTGGGGGCATCTGTCTATCAGCTAGGTGGTACGCGACATAAAAAAAAGAAGCGTATAAGTCAGTTTTAAGTTCATTTGAGAACTGGTTGAAAGATAATAGATGACTGAATTGTCACTTGAGGAAATTAGATTGGAGACAAAGCAGACAATGTCGGAACTTGAGCCGCACAAAATACCCAGATAAACTCCGGACGATATTGAAAACTGAATGTGGGTTGTAAGTTGTGCAGTGTATCCCCAAAACCCCAAGTTTCGATTTGTTCATGTTATAATTCATTTAATAATCTACCAAGGAAGTACGGCATACGGAAACCATACCATGTCTTGAAAATGGTGCTAGAGTATTACGCAAAAAATGTTATAAAGCCCTGACACTGTTCACATCGCCGTAAGGGAATTTTTCACAAACGAAGTAGGTTTTCGACGGCACCCTCCCTTAAATTTCATTCAACAATCAGGATGTTGTCTTCAAAATTGATGCGGTTATTATTTCCGCTTCAGTAGAATCAGACTTGTTCGGCTGATACAGCCGAAGAAATACTGTAACCACAGAAGGAAGTCGTTTATACCAGCTTCGAAGGTGAAGTGCAAGGGTCATAATGTAGTTAAAATATTTTTCGATTTATGGAAATGAATGTAAGAACGTGTCCCACTTGGCTCATTTTTTACTTTTTTGATTTTAAATTTATTCCGAGAGCATCTAAAAATTTCGGTTATTGCAATCCCTCTTTGGCCGAAAGGAATACCGTATTTAATGTGCATACGTATGTCGTTGTGTGCGATTAAATTGTTGAAGCCACGTGATTCAAAAATTTGGTGGACTTAATGGGGGAAATCTCTTTAGAATTTTCGTTCTGGAAGTAATGATTCAATTATCGTTCATTCGTTTTTTGAA